TGATCGAGAATTCAAACGTCTTTGAAAGCCGTTCAATCAGGCATCCGGCAAAAGTCAAACGGGAATATTTTGAAAGGGAGTTTTGGAATGTGGACAGGAAGCGCCAAAAGTTGTGCTTCAGAGGATGTGTCCACAAGCTGCCGTCACAGTATACCGAGATTGTCGGCGACAAGACATGGAACACCCTGTCAGAAGAGACACTCGAACGAGCATCAGCTGCGTGGTCATGGCTAATTCACTACAATGATGCAAGACTGGCATCTCAGCATGTTCCCTTGCGTGCTGGGAAGTTTAGCAGCCTTGCAGCCCCTTTGAAGATCTTGAACCATGTCTTGGATTTGACATGCTATCTCTCTCTTGGGGCAAAAACCTGGGCTGCTCTCATGTGGCCAGTGGTCCAGCATGAGGACCAGTCGACAGGAGAGATATATTTTGTTTTGAAGGCAGAGTGCCCGGATGGTTCCAGCGTCAAGGCCTGCTGGATTCATTTGTATGAGCCCCAGTATTGGGAAGTCATCGAAACAGAGGCAGTCTTCTGGAATGGCTTCATTTGCCTCCGTCGTTGTGCTACAAGCTCAGTGTCACTTCTATCCTATATGTTGCAGCATCCCAAGTGACATGTTTTCATTTAGGATTCTGTCAACTGTCGACCCATACAGTAAATAGTACAATAAACTTATATAAGTTTTGCTGTGCTTGTTTTTGCTGACTCGACTGAGGGAAATGTCACAAGCATGTCGGACTCTCGCAGACTGCCAGAATCTCGCCGAGCATGTGATCTCCCAGACTGGAAACGTAGACGAAAAAAAGCGAAAGGAGCTGCAACGAATGCGCCGTCCAAAGCTCATGAGCCTGATCGCTTCTCATCACCTTCCGGAAGATGAGGATTTCATGCGCAAAATTGAGGCTATGTATTCGACAGCCAAAGATTCAACAGAGGATGAGGATGAGGATGACATTATCATGGGGGACTTTGTTGATGAGCTGGTTCTTGACGACCTGCTTGCTGAGGACAAACAGGAATTTAAAATGGTCTCAGACGCAGTCAGAAAACGCAGAATCAAAAGGGTGCATCAAACCTGGCAGGCCATCAAGACGCAGCAAGCAAAGGCCAAGGCAAAGGGCAAGGCCAAAGCAAAGACCAAAGCAAAGGCCAAGCCACAGGCCAAACGGAAAGCCAAGAGAAAGATTTGTCGCCCACGTATGTTGCCCAGGAAGCAACCCGCGCCTCCTGATGAAAGTGGTCAAGAGGGAGCAGAAGGCAGAGTGCCAGCACCTCCTGCTGAGGTGCCGGTGGAGCCGGAGCCTGATAATCACGTGGAGGCCGCGGAAGGCAGAGTGCCAGCCCCTCCTGCTGAGATGCCGGAGGTGCCTGCTGCAATCCCTGTCCCAGAGCCTGATGATCACGTGGAGCCCGAGGAAGGCAGAGTGCCAGCCCCTCCTGCTGAGATGCCGGAGGTGCCTGCTGCAATCCCTGTCCCAGAGCCTGATGATCACGTGGAGCCCGAGGAAGGCAGAGTGCCAGCCCCTCCTGCTGAGATGCCGGAGGTGCCTGCAGTGCCTATCCCAGCACTCGAGCCACGGGAGGTTGCAGTCCGTGGCCCCCAACATCAGCGGCGGCCGAACCGTGTTGACTACCAAGGGGTATGGACACCTGTTCAATGCCCGGAGTGTCCCAAGATCGCTGGTGAGATGAAGTACGACCCGAATCCTGGTGGCACTGACAAAGCAAAATGGTTTCTCCGAGTTCGTGTGACAGACGGCGGTCTCTTGGAAAGATTCGGAACATTTGTTATAGCTTCGATGTGGTTGCCTGATCTGCTGTGTGTTGTGTCACATTACATGAACCCATGTGTGTCTGGCATTGAAGGCGAGTGGAGCCACCTCGTACCCTATCACTGGGGACGTGTGGCTTCCAAGATGACAGAAGCGCAGGCCAGACAACACGTCATTGACCATAGGCCCTGTTGTGGCCCGACCAGGAGGCCTGGCAACAACTAGAGGATTCATCCTGCGCTGCAAAGAAAAGTTGTGTGTCTGTCTGTGTGCTTGCATTGATGGCAGCGGGTCCTGCTAGATTGGAATGCGTCCGAGAGACTGTGTGTTTCTGCTTGGGGAAGACGGATTGCGAAAGCATGTTCGCATTTTCACACATGTGGAATTTGTCACGTGCAAGCACATGGACAATCATTTCGAGTGCCACAACCCGGAAGCCGCACAAACTAGCACATGTGGTTTGAAGCCGTGCGTGCTTGTGACTGAACAGTAGCCGTCCAGAGCAATGCATTTCGCCCCGATCGAACGAGGAGAGTGTTTCTTCAGAGGCGAGCTCTCCCCAATCTTGATCAAAACCGCTTGCGAAAAATTGGCCAAAGCGCCTGACCAGTGGAAACCAGCTGAGAGATGGAATGAAGTTTATGACGACGTGCCTTGGGAAATCATGGTTCGCTACCTGCGTTACTGGCCACGTATTGGCTCCCGCATTACAGGAGGCCTCAGGCTTCTTCGACGGTACGAAGGCCCCTTCCCGAAGTGTTATCAGGTGGGTGAAGGAGAAGAACCGCTGGAGTTGCCGCGCGTTTCTCTCGTTTGTGATTTTGTTTATGTTTGGAACGACGAAGATGAACAACAACGGCAGTTTGTCCTTCAGATGAAACCCCTCTCACTTGTTGCCATCCGTCTCGGTGGTCCGGGGGAACTTCCTGACCTTGATGCTGGAGCAATACCTTTGACCGACCAGCTTGTGCAAAGTTGGGGTGGCAATAATTAATGGATCTTGAGGCGGGAAGGCAGAGTGCCAGCAGCTGGGAAGGCAGAGTGCCAGACGTTGTCGCGTCACCCAGCTGTACCCTGCTTCGCCTGCACGTGATTCGCTTGACAGTGTGGTCAACGCAGAAAAGCGCAACATCCAGCAGTTCGTAGCCACTTCACGTGATTTGTGCATCCCTAATACTATCAAACCCTAAAACTATGGCACTCTGCCTTCTAGCCCCAAACCCTAAATACTAAAGACCCTGAAACTCTAACCCTAACCCTTTCATTACCCTCAAACCCTAACACTATGGCACTCTGCCTCCTAACCCCAAACCCTAAATATACTAAAGACCCTGAAACTCTAACCCTAACCCTTTCATTACCCTCAAACCCCTAATACTATGGCACTCTGCCTTCTAACCCCAAACCCTAAATATACTAAAGACCCTGAAACTCTAACCCTAACCCTTTCATTACCCTCAAACCCTAAACACTATGGCACTCTGCCTTCTAACCCCAAACCCTAAATACTAAAGACCCTGAAACTCTAACCCTAACCCTTTCATTACCCTCAAACCCTAACACTATGGCACTCTGCCTTCTAACCCCAAACCCTAAATATACTAAAGACCCTGAAACTCTAACCCTAACCCTTTCATTACCCTCAAACCCCTAATACTATGGCACTCTGCCTTCTAACCCCAAACCCCCCTGAAACTCTAACCCTAACCCTTTCATTACCCTCAAACCCTCTGGCACTCTGCCTTCTAACCCCAAACCCTAAATATAATAAAGACCCTGAAACTCTAACCCTAACCCTTTCATTACCCTCAAACCCCTAATACTATGGCACTCTGCCTTCTAACCCCAAACCCTAAATATAATAAAGACCCTGAAACTCTAACCCTAACCCTTTCATTACCCTCAAACCCCTAATACTATGGCACTCTGCCTTCTAACCCCAAACCCTAAATATAATAAAGACCCTGAAACTCTAACCCTAACCCTTTCATTACCCTCAAACCCCTAATACTATGGCACTCTGCCTTCTAACCCCAAACCCTAAATATAATAAAGACCCTGAAACTCTAACCCTAACCCTTTCATTACCCTCAAACCCCTAATACTATGGCACTCTGCCTTCTAACCCCAAACCCTAAAGACCCTGAAACTGTAAACCCTGTGCCAGGTCTTCTTCATCCTCGTCTTCTCGGAAAAAACATTAAAAAATGTAGTTTTTTTTTGTGTGTTTTAAAGTTTTTAAAAATTTTTAAAAGTTGTTTAAAGTCTTTAAAAGTCTTTCAAATTCTTTTTAAAGTTTGTAAAAGCTTTTAAAAGCGTTTAAAAGTCTTTTAAAGTCTTTTTAAAGCTTTTAAATGTATTTTAATGTTTTTAAAAGTCCTTTTAAAGCCTTTTAAAAAAGTCTTTTAAAGTGCTTTTAAAGTTTCAAAAGTAAAAGTTTCTAAAAGTTTCTAAAAGTCTTTTAAAGTCTTCTAAAAGTTTTTAGAATGTTTTTTCTTGCATTTGAAAGTTTTTAAAAGTCTGTAAACGTCTTTAGAAGCCAACTCTGTCGAAAAAGCCCTGTGGATCTAAACCTTGTGGTTCTGGTTCGGTGCAAAAGGGCAATGATCCTACTGCTGCTACTCGTGCTACCATCCCTCCTACAATGACGATTGCTACCGTGGTGTTGACCCTTGTTCGTTTGTGTCTTGTTGCTGTTTCATATTCTTTGATCCCATATTTTGGTAGTCTGTACAGTATACCTTCCAGGCAATGTGATACATTAATGTTTTGTGGTCACTATTTGGGCTGTTTGACCCCAAAATGTTATGGATTGATCATTACATACTTTTGAATCCCTCAGCCCCGGTGCTTCTCGTCCGTATCCTATCTCTCTTCAGAGAGTAACTACATGTGATCATGACAAACTGATCCCAGAAGCGGAGATCCCAAACAAAACGAAAACTATGACAGCACCACCAAAGCATGCAGGACTGCAAGAAGCAGTTTGTTTTTGTGCGGGAAACCATCTCTCTAACAGTTGCCTTCGCCCGACAACATGTGAATTTCGCTTGGAAGAAACACACTCTTTGTCAAGAACACAGCGCCCGGGCGCGGGTCGGCAAAGGTGGCGTTGCCTTTATTAAGGAAAAGAGACAGATAGAGAAAATGCATGCAGCCGCCCTGCCCCAGCTCCAGCCAAACCCAACCGACCACCGCCAATGCGCATTTTAACTCAGAGAAGCATGTGCAGCTGCGCAGAGAGCCCATGTGTTCGCACACCTGGAGCTGCGAAGCTCTGTGTTTTTGATTATAATTCGGCTTCCTTCCAGGATGAGGACGTGGAAGGCCCCCGCCATCGTGGGAAGAAGAAGGGGCCGCATGGGGCAGCGGCATACCGCGGGACAGCAGCTTGAACGCATTCGCCACACTGCTGACAATAATCTCCAACCCCAGCGCGAGTTCCAACTCTTTCGGCCCTCTTCGAAATGTCATATCGATATCTGCCCATGTCATTTGCCCAACATGCCTTCCACTATATCAGTACACTACGGGTTGGTCACAGCCGAGACTGAGGTTCAGCAGCTTGGCGGCATGCAAGACCCAGACATCATTCGCGTTCGCGTGTCCTTGGCTTCGGCTTGAGCTCACACGAGTCGCAGCTGTGAACTGAGGGCCGAGTGCTTCCACAGGGCCTTCCAGCCAGCAGAACCTCGCCAGAGCATCGCAGCATCGCTTTTGCCTCGAGAGACTGGCATGTGGTCTGGAGTCAGCTTCGAGCCAAGGAGATCGTGATCAGTCCGGTGGACAGCGATCCGTTGCCCACGTTGCTGCTCGCCTGTTGGAATGAGTCCTACTTGTGGCAGGTTCTGGAGTGTCGTTGCTTCCCTCCCGCCGCTTGCCGAGGTTCGTCTCGCATGGCCTCGGGCCGATGCCTCTTCTGCGGGACCCCTCTGCACCCTTCCCGCGCAGCCTTGCCGAGCTGCCCCAAAGGCACCAGCGGAGACGTAGGCGGGTGGGGGCTTGCAAAAAGCCTGCATCTTGCAGCAGGCTGCGGCTGGATGAGCACTTGGTCGAAGCCTCGACCTCCACAAAGTCCGAGATCGAATGCAGAAGTGCCGTTTTTTCCCTGCAGGTGCGGTGCATCCTCGTGATATCTGCGCATTGGGAGAGCAGGGACGGGCTTGAGGTCAGGGCCAACATGCCTGTGGCTCTTGCGAGACGCATGATACTGCAGGTGACCTTGCGCCGGACTCATGCTCAAGGCCTCCAGGGCTCCAGGGTTCGGCTTGGTCCTCCGAAGGGTTTTGTGCCACTGCGACTGTGAAGCTGCAGCCAGCGGCCAGTGCAGCTAGTGGATGTGGATGGATGCTAAGATGCTATTGCAACAAGCTCTGCGCATGAGCAGTTTGCGTGGCAGGTCTACTTTATGATTATGCCGGAGCATCCAAAGAGATGTACGAGGCCGTGGCTGAAATTCTCGGTGTGTCGTCGTTTCCGGCATAAAGAGGCAAGGCTTGGCTAGGCCAGGCTCAGAGGTGGAGGCGAAGAGAAAGTAGAGTCGGAGGGACAATGCTAGTGCTGCTGGTGCTTCTGCGGAGAAAACTTCGAAGAAGACCACCACCCGAGCGCGATATCCCCACACCCACTCTGCCTGCACCTGGTCGTTTCGGCTGACTAGCAGCCTTGCAGAGTGGAATACGATGCCCTCAACGTATGATCCGGGTTCGAGCAGGTGCACCACCGCTACCATCCACCTGGCGATCCTCAAGTGCTGGGGGCTCGGGCCGGATTCCGCAAAGAGGCAGAGGCCTTGTATGAGTGACCTGCGCATCCGGCTCAGGTCTGGCTGGGTGGTTGACCTTCTTCAGGAAGCGAACCAGGAGCAACAAAACGCATGCGGGCCCATGTTGCGGATGCGTGCGGCTGCGTGCGGCGATTGCAGAAAGCCACTAGGAGATCCGCGTTAACTCTGCCCGAGCGTTGGTGACCTCGGCTGCACCAACATCGGCCTTGACGATGTCACAGTAGCGACACACTGACACACTGCAAGCTCTTCCTGAGGACCATGGTGTCTTCGTTCCACTTCTGCTCATGCATCTCGGAACGGTCGGACACGCTGAGTGGACGGAGCAGCATCGTCGCATCTCTTTGAGGCCCAGCTTGGCCTCCGTGCCTGTGGTGCAGCTCAGCCTCCCCGGCTTTCACGGTCGCCGGGGCTCCGAACTTGCACGCCAGTGTCTGGAGGAGCGCACGCTGCCAGAACGCTTGCTTATCTGCGCGCAACTCAAACGGACAAGCTTTCCCTGAAAGGTGGGCAGAGCTTTATCGCCGCTGCGGTCAGCGGCCCACTTGGAGGTTCCCTTGGAAGGACGTCCTGAGGTGCTAGCCGTGTTAGCAACACTCCCTTGAGTCTGGGACGGACTTGCTCGGGAGAAAACGAGGTCTCGCGGGGTATTGATCTTGGGCAGCGGGCTATCCACCAACTCCGCCACAAAGCCAGAGCGGCTCGAGAGGCATTTGCTCGAGTCGGTTTCTGCCAACAGCAACCAATCCGAAGCAGGTGGACAGAGGAGCTGACACGGCTTTGCAGCGCTTCTTCGGAGGAACGCCTCTTGGCTTAGACAACCTCCTGTCAGCTTGACGGCTGCAGAACATGTGGGCAGTCTGGAAAGCACGTGCGGTGGCCTTCAAGGCTTTGAAGGCTTGCGGACCTGGACTTCTACGTTGCCGCATGCCAGGGAGGCCGGCCGGCCGTGCTGGCGGACGAGTGGCTTAAATCCCAAACTTGCATCATAATTCGATTCTGTGGCTTGCACCAGGAGGGAGTATCACCAACAGGGTGGCCACTTTAGCATGTACATGTATTGACAGACCCGAGTGTTTTTGCAGGTCCACGGCCGTGAAGAGCACCTGTTGCCCTTGCACGTAGCTGCAGGCCTTCTCAGCGAGCTCGGGGCATATTCTATTTCTTGCGTACTACTCATGCACCACTCCGTCTCCATGATCGCATTTTTAATTCGGCTTTTGCAGAGAAGCTTTGTGTGCTTCAGCATCGTTCGTGCGGTCTCGTATCTGCAAGATGGCCAGCAAGACGTCGAGCATGTATTTGCAAAGCTCGGAGGTGCTGCCCGAGATGATCCCGGAGAGGTGCGACGGAACTCTCATGGTGCACTGTAAACTGTAGCTGCGCTGCCCAGGCCTGCAGCGAAATGTAGCAGAGCCGCTGTGTATTGCCGTTTGCTTGTGCTTTTCGCTGTCGTTGCGGTGGTTGTCGGTCGTGAACGGAGTTTGAACAGCTGCGGCATATTCATGTTCGTCATTTTTCATTATTCTCATGTTCATCATCTTGTTGTCGTTGCCGTTTTCGCTGTCGGTCGGTCGATGTCGGTCGTCGCCAACGTCGCTGTGGTTGTTGTTGCTGTTGCTGCTGTTGCTGCTGCTGCTGCTGCTGCTGCTGCTGGTGCTGGTGCTGGTACTGTTGGTGTTGCTGTTGGCAGTTGGTGTTGGGCTGCTATGATTGTTGTTGTTGTTGTTGTTGGTGGTGGTGGTGGTGGTGGTGGTGGTGGTTTTGGTGGTGCCGATGGGGCGTGGTTTTTGCTGTTGCTGTGGTTTTGGTTGTGGTGGTGGTGGTGGTTATCGTTTTCGTCTTCTTGGCACAGTTGCTGCCATTGCCAGGCTCTCTGCCATTGCGTTGAGCATGGGCTTGTTCCTGGCCCAGCTGCTTTCCGTAGACCCAGCTGCTTTCCGTTGACATCACGTTTGCTTTGATTTAGAGTGTGCGTCGGCGTGAGGGCCTTTCTCGAGTAAACGAGCGTTTTTTTTTACAGGTTTTTAGTATATTTTAATTGAGTTTCAAATCAGTAGGAAATACATATGCGCATTAATTGTGATATTTTTTTAAGACAGCACTTAAAATTCTGTTCTTTACGAATACGACGAAACTGGGCCCTGAGGGTGACGCTTTCTGTTTATTTAATGCTGCAGCCAAAGTTGCAGACGCCAGGCAGCCCGCAGCATATTACATTTACTCAGTCTAGGGTTCTACAAACCTCCAAGGTCATGTCCCACTTCGTCTTCGGCTGGTGATTGCTCTTGTGTTTGTGCAGGCCTGATCTGCCTGCGTCTCACGGGAGGACCAGGGAGTTTTTCCAACAGAAGCTCAAGCGACTCATGCAAGGTCTCAAGCAAAGAGCCTGAGAGCTTGGCTCTGTTCGGAGAACTCCTTGGCGCCTGTTGCATCGGGTGAGTTTCCTTTAAAGAGGACTCCAATTCGTTCACTTTACGGAAGTTGCCCGACAAGCATACTCACACATCGACACGGGTGTCCGTGATAGACGGCAACTTAATCCAATAGCTCCAGGTGCTGAAGGCACAGAGGAGTTCATTACGTCACGCCGAGTGCGAAAGAAGCTCCAGATTTCCTGGCTTTGGGGAACATCGGGTCGCGCAGTCTTCAAGAAAGGGTCTGACATTCTGACATGCTCGGAACTGCATGTTTCACTAAGGTGGAGACGAACCCGACATCCACCGCTTGAGAATTCCCAGGCCAAACTTCGGTGCAGACAAGCTGCTGCAGACGCCAGTGGACATATTCAAATGTACTGCTTGTGTTCGTCTTGGTTCTGGAATGTTCCGCGACAGTCCCACCCCCAGAAACGTGTTTCATGAGTGTGATGATAAGAGCTCTGTCGCAGTTGCCGATGGACGATGACGAGCTCATGCAGCGCCGCTCTCAGCATGCAAACCTGTGCTGATGTGAAACGTGGGCATCTACAGTAGAATCTACAGGCTGAATCAACATGTCGCATACTAGTACAAGTAGGTCTCAGTTTCTCAGAGAAGCACCAAAGGCTAGCAGCTGGCGTTGTAACCCATCCTGTTTCCTTGCCGGTAGTGAGAAGACAAGCTAGATGAAATAGAAGAGATGGTGAACATCCCCTGACAGGCCATGTAGCAACTGAGCGATTTTCGATGCCCCGGGCCGGAACGTCTCAGGTGTGTGCCCGAGCAGGAGCACCAGCTATGCAGCAGCTCGGGTCTGTTGAGCCATGACTGGCCCGGGTTTGGAAAAGATCTTAAAGTTTTATGATGCTTTATGGGTTGTTGGAAAATTTGAGGCTAGATTGGTTGTGTTGCCCATGACACTAATGGCTCCGCAGAAACCCCAATGTTCAAAGCATCACTTGAATTTGCAATCTCGAGCGCAATCAACCCAAAAGCATCCTGCGCGAAGCAAGCCCCCTGTGGTCTGGCCGCTTTCTCCAAGGCTGTACAGTAGCTGTATTTTGTGTTTATTCTGGAGTCGAGGCTCGTAGAGTTGGAACGAAAATAGTCTTGTTTCAGCATAAAGGGTCCATCCTGGTGTTGACAAAAATTTGTCAACACCAGAATGCGGGGTCTGCAAAACAGTGATCCTAGTTGGCCTTGTCACATCGTCCAGAGGAGCCAGACGCAACAGTCTTGAGAGAGCCCATCAAGTTCAAGGCCCAGCTCAGGGCTCGCCTTACGCTGACGATGAAGTCTAGTTTTGCCTGCTACAGATGCTCTCCGTTCTTCATGATCGGATGGAAAATCCATGTTGGTTGAGGGTCTGGGGATGTTGCGAACCGAGCTTTCGCCGGTGGAATCGAAAGGATTCAGAAGTCGTTAACTTGGCCGAAGCCGGTGACTTGCCATTCTATTTGTCCTGCAAGCGGTTGGCAAAATGAGAAGCTTTCACAGCGTGGCACTCGTTTTCGAAGCAGAACGGCCTGGTTGGCATCCGTGGAGACTACTACAACCAAGGCAGGGGGCTCAGATTTGGGGGAAAAAAGTGTAGTGAATGCAGCACTGGCAAAGAGGCCAATTCAGCAGCTTGTATGCCAAGAGGGGACATGCTGGAGGCTTCATGATGTGCATATACCCAAGGTTGTCAGGGGCACGAGGCAGACAGGAACACCTAAAGCACTGTCACTGTGCTTTGAGGTCCTTTGCCCGAAGGCCAGAATTTCAGTGCTTCAGCTGAGGGGCTTGACATGCCTGCAGCACTTCGTTAGCAAGCCGAAGGTTGGGTTTCACCAGGCCCTCTCTCACCAGCAGCTCGGATCCCAGCAACGCTTCACGGTGCGTTTCAGTCACTGTGGGCAATCCGCTCTCTGCAGGCTTTGAGCACTCGGGAACCGAGCTGCGAGCGCAGCTATGCCTCACCACGACCGGTGCCCTGGCCTGGATCGCCTGCGTAGGGAGAAGGCGCACATGTCCTGTCGCCATGTTTGGATCACATGGGATCTGAGGATTCGCGCGGTTCAAACAGCAGCGACTTCTCCGGCAGCTTTCGGCAATCGTACTGCGGCAGCACCGTATAAATTTGACAAGCCGCCAAGACACGCCAAGAGTGCGGTAGGGGTTTGCAATCGTTTTGAAGTTTCGCTCAAACCCGAAATCCGGGCATCATTGTGAGCACACAGTTCGGGGAGGTGGGTTTAGAGACAGGCATGGTTCTATCGGTCAGGTTCCGAGAGAAATTTTAGCGAGGCGTGGGCGCATGATCTTCCAGCGTGCCCAGCGATCCGCGACCCCGCCGCTCCAGGAGCGGCGGTTCTGAGCGGAGTCCCCATTCCATGTGCCCTGCGTGCCCCATCGTGCCCAACTGCTTTCCATTGCAGTCCGTTTGGGGACATGTTTGTTGGACCTTGGGAGGAGCACCTCGGCTCTGAGTTGCCGCGTCCCAAGGCATCACGTCCGGCCGGGACTCCACGAGGCGCTCCTTTGTCCAAACTGGGGCCCCGAACGCAGTGAAGCGGCAACTTCTGCCAGGCGAAGATTCGAGCCGATCTGACAAGGAGGCGGAAACTTGCGCTACTAGTACCTTGTACTGTAGCGGTAAGAGCCACTTTCTGGCTTCGTCCAGGTGCAGAAGATTATCCAAGCGGCGAAGCGCAGGCGAGATTGCGATGGTCCTTCGTGAGCGCCTCCGAAGCCTGGCGAGGCAACTCGAGGAAGCCAGCCTCCTCGGGCTTGAGGTGACCCGCAAAGTTGTGGGGATCTTCTTTGCTTTGGGCCTTTGGATTCACCACAAGCGTGAGCTCGCCACGCGTTGACCAACATCCACTGTCCAGCGCAGGGGGTGCCTTCGGTCAGCGGGCCAAGATTGACGGACGCAAATCAGCGAGGTGACGACCTCAGCGGAGCGATGGGGCGACTTCCGACTTCCAATAACTGTTGCAGTGGAATTCGCCCAGACAGAGGAGAACAGCGTTATATGATTATGAGTCGTCATGTTTCATCAGTACAAGAGCAAGCGGGTTGCGTCACTGTCATGACAGCAAGTAGCTGTGGCAGTGGCAGTAGTAGTAACAGGAGCTGATAGACTAGTTTTCAACTGAGCATAGATCTTCTGTTGGTGGCTGCCACAGTCCCAGCGTGTGCATCGCCTTTTGTGCCTCCCTGCTAGTGCCTTTGGGTTGGCTAATCAGGGTGCTGAAGAAGCTCCAGCACGCGAAAATTTACAACCCCACAGAGCACCACTGCCGTATATCAGCTAGTAAAGAAACCTGCCGGGCATTGTCGCTTCGGCTTCTGCTCTACCAACTAATTCTTTACTACGGTGCTACGTCGCTGTTTCTGTCCTACGACTGTACTACGGTAGCACTGCCACTATACTGCTACCGTACTGCTGTACTACCGTAGTATCCTTTCTGCTTCTACATGTCATGGACAAGAGACTTTACAGAAGCATGCTGTGAGGTAGGTGAAAAGCCTGGAAACAGGGGATGCGTAAACTCCAAATCATGAAAGGCCAGGCAAGTAATTCTGACGGCAAGTCTACATCGAGGATCCCAATAGCAACAACAGGCTTCTCATGCTCTTTTTTGCCCTTTCACAGTACCTGCTCCTGTGTGCTTCGTCCGCCGATCATAGCTCGTCTCGTTGGGCCGACGTCGTTGATCTATCACGGCGGGTGAGAGGAAGTAACGACGACTGTGGTGCTGATAAAAATGACGATGGCGATGATAACGGTGTTATGATGATTAGGCAGAGGTGAATGGAGGTGATGCTTGAAGCGATGACAGTGCAGATGCTTGCCACGATGATTGATTATAGTGGAGATGTGTACGGATAGATGATGTTTTTTCGATGGTTCAAGGGGTGTTGTAAAGGGTGGTGACTGTCGCGAGGAAGACGAGGACAGCGCTTTTGATAACAAGAAGATGATGACGACTGTCATCATAATCGCCCTCGTCGTCATCATTAGCTGCTTCTCTTACAATCACGGATACCAGCCTTACTGTCAAGAAGGCCATAGCCCGGATCACTAAAACAACGACTAGGATTGCCACTGTCGCCATCATCATCAGCATCAGCATGGTCACTGGCCATGGTCGCCGCCGTCGTCGTCGTTGTCGTCTTCGTCTTTATCATGATACTCAGCTTCGTCTTCTTCAGCTCATCACCTACATGAGCGCAAAGATCCTTATCAGATTCACCCCCCCCCCCCCGCCACAATTGTATGGTAGCAAAATACATAGATCGACTAACAGGGGCACGGAGGAGAGAAAGGTGTGCAGGAGGAGAGCATAGGTATGGTGACGACGATGATGGCTTGAAGGCTTAACGGCACAGAGTAGCCATGAAGAGTACAAGGCTAGCTCCCCTCTGTACCAAGCGCACAGCACATAGATCTTAAATCATCTTAATCCTCAAATGCTCCGGCCTGGCATCAGTCATGTCAGCAGTTGGCTCCCATGGCTACTTATCGGTCCTGAGGCTTCTCAAGCTTGAGCTCTGGTCGGTCGAGACCACAAACGGCGGGCAGATCTGCAGCCCAGGAGCCGGATGTAGCGATGCAGATCTGCTTCTGCATTGAGTGTAACGCCCTCGAGCAGATCTGTGAAGCCATTTCGGACTTTGGCAGGTCCCGCGACCGCGTGCCCAGGGCCGCAACTGGCGCGGGGTGGAGCCGCTTGTGATTGCAGCAAGATGTGCGGAGCCGGCAGTGCAAAGGCACGTTGTGAAGGGGTCTTGTGACTGCTGAAGAAGCGAAGGCGACCACCTTCGGCCAGGTTGGAATTCGAGCCCGGGAGCTCAGGAAGCAGTAGTTCTGGAAAGCACATTGTGACGCTGCTCATCAAATTGTTGGGAGGTGGGAGCGCAGTGGAATGATGGATGAAGCGAAGTTATGGACCGTTGCGCCTGCAGGCGGATGGACGACTCCACAGCCGACCAACGCTTCCACCTTCAGAGTGGGCCAGGTGCTACCATGAAACAACATTGGTAGAGACTAAACCTGGAGGTTCGTGGTACTATCAGTGTGCACGACAGCAGACTTGCATCCAAAAGTCGTAGTGATAGGCCCTCACCCTATACAGTGACGGCGTGGGATAAGAAACTCCTGTATCCGAGGCAGGGTACCCGGGATTTCTTATTTAGATGGCGCTCTGTTTAGGGTCAGAAGTGATACCCGCCAGAGTACCCTGGACTGGAGTTCTTGTTGGAGACGTATCGTGCGCCTCTGACGCCGTCCAGGGCCATACATGAACGAAGAGCCCGGGGCGGCAACAAACCGCCTATTAGAGGATGGCGATATTCAGATCATTGATCCTCCACCGCCTCCGCCTCCCCTTTCGGCCAATGTAGCGCGCCACCCTGTGCAGCAAAACGCGGCACAACTTCGGGCGAACTCCGAAACTCTCGCCGATGAGCTGCTCTTGAGCTAGTAAAAACCAGGAAATAAGAAATCCAGCCCCTGGAGTTCTTATTTCCTCTGTTTTTGGGAAATCCATATCAAATCTTCAACCCTCCACCCATTGCCTTCGGGCGGATTCCGAAACTCTCGATTTGCTGCAGGAATCCTAAACCCGTCCATTGGGGTTTCCGCTAAGTTTTGAGGCTTTTCGTGCTGCACTCATTCCTGTCCCCTTTAACCTGATGCTTTAAATCCCGAAGCCTTCAGCCAAAATTTCAATGTACTGTAAAACGTGTTTAGGGTCCTGCGCTTCTGGTCTTGGGGGCAGCATTTATGAACTTGGATAAGAAATTGGGTTTCGGAGGTAGGGCAGATTCTAGCACATGTTCGCCCAAATCCAGGGGCTGGATTTCTTATTCAATGTTTTCTGTTAAGTGCTGGCGCTGTCGCCACTACATATAGCCAGCTGGCTGAGATTCTGTGTACTAGTAGCAGCCATTCTGTGGTGCCTTGCACCATTCACAAATCAAGCTCTTGCACAGGTCCGTCCAGGGCACATCACCTGGGCTGTGCAGCAGGCCGCATCAGATGGTATGATTTTGATGACCCTTGGATGAATGTTCTGGATGCTTCTTGCAACAAAAATACTAGCTACATCCTCGGGTACTATCAGCTTATCATTTTATATAGGTCCGGTTGCCTTGTTGCGACAAGCCGGACCTCATAACCGTGAGCGAATGGAAACTTTGAAGCTGAGACGCACATTGAGACAAAGACATGGGGTTGGGCCCTGTGTTGTATTGCAAGTGCCGAAGGGAAGGAACGAGTGATGGCTCAAAGCAAGCCCCTCATAAGCAGCACTAACAAGCTTGCGAATGAAGTGAGTTTTGACGAGTCTTCTCCGGACGATGAGAATGAGACGTGCAAGCGTGGATTTGCGGGCAGGGGTGGAGGGTGGAATAGAGGAGGAGGAGACATGTTGAAGGTTGATCGCTGATCGAAGCCTGACTCTGACAGAAGTCGTCTCGATGCCAGGCCACAGCACCCAGTATTCCTGCAAATCCGAGGTGCACCTTTTCTTCCACCAGCTTCTTTCGGTCCATGTTCGCTTAACCAGTGAGCAGATGCCAGCAAGGCCGTCCTGTCTCAGTTGATGTCATGTCTGGAAGGTTTGGTGGCAGAAGAGCCCTGCGGCAGACAGGCTGGGAACGTCAGCATCAGCCCACTGAGTTCACTGCATTTTTCTACTCACCCGGGCCTCCCGGGAGATTGCAAGGCGCCGCCAGGGCGATTTCGAAAGATGCACTTTGCCTTCGCAGCAGCCTAGCTGGGAGAGCGAAGTAGGTCTTCGCCTCGGTACAACTAAAGCATTCATTCGCATTCGAGGTATGTCACGTTTGCACCAGGTTCCTTTCCAACACACGAATGCAACCGGCAGGTTACGGTGCAGAGGAGGCCAGTGGTCACTGGCCTTCTGGGAGGCCTCGCAAGGCCGAGCTCATTTGCACTCTGCACACGGATTCCTCCGACTGACTCAAGCGTCTCGCAGATCTCGTTGATGCTTCTGAAAAAGTCGCGAAACGCGCCCGACGACTGCGCAGGCCGGGGATCTGCCACCGCTCCCTGGCGCCGAGGGTGGCAAGGCCGGGTGAGACCAAGTCGAGCTGGACACGGCGAGCGCGAGACTTCAGATCAAATGCCGCGAGGCGCAGAGCCTGGGGCTCTTCATCGTGCCGCCGCCAGAGGCCCGGGAAGCAAGCACTCCCGAACTCTCTGTGCAAACTCCACTTAAAGACAAGAGCTTTGCTCTAGCTGCATCCTGCCCTCTCAAGCCAGGCCCCTCAACCTGCATGGGCGAAGAGTTCAATCCAACCTCAGGAAGGAGGTGCTTAAGTGTTTGACGATCGACTTCGCATCGCACAGGGCAGGCCGGGAGCTGACAAATCGCCCAAAGCCCAAAGCGCCGCATGCGCTTTGATCGATGGTCGTCTGTGCAGAGTGCCTTCTTGCCCGCAGGCCTCGGACAAGGCTCAGACCAGCCTGAGCCAGCGCGGCTTGCGCGGCTGGGTAGATAATGAT